TGTTAATGGGAATACTTCCTCAGGCAATGAATTCCAGAGCCTAGCCGTTCTATGGATGGAGGAGTTTTGATAAAGTGCTGTTCGACATCTTTCGAGGTTGACAACGAAAGGGTGTGCTGACTGGGCTTGTCTAGTTCGTCTGACTGGTATTGCTAGTGAAGGGATGATAGCAGAGATTTCCGAAGAACATTTGCCGTGGAAGTATATCGATAGAAAAATGAAAGTTTGCCGACCTTTCTACGGTGTTCCAATGATGTCAAAGAGTGAGTGAGTGTGGCGTCACCCACCAGGCGGATGATTCTTCTCTGGATGGAATCTAAGAGCATCAGCGTATGTTTCGGTGCGGAACCCCATATGTGGGAACAGTATTCTAGAACAGGCCGTATCTGCGCTTTGTAGATCATGAGAAGCTGTTGAAGTGTAAAGTAGCTTTTCGCACGGAACAAGAATCCGAGTTTTTGTGGAGCAGCTTTTGCGATGGATCTGACATGATTATCCCATGAAAGAGTGTTGCTGATGGAAATACCAAGCATAGATATGGTGGGCTTGGTGGGGATGATGGTGGTGCCAGACATTACAATGCCGGGCATACTGAGTTCCGTCTTTCTAGAGAAAATACAGGCTTGAGTTTTGGTGGCGTTGAATTCAACTAGGTTGTCGGTTCCCCATCAGGCTGTGATTTCAGCAATAAGGTCTTCATTGACAGCATTGACATGCCTGCACCGTGAGTTCTTAGTTTCCTGGGAAGAAATGGGAATTCTGGAAGAGAACGCAGTATGGAGGGTACTATCATCTGCAAAGCTACGGATGGGGCAAGTTGTTACTCCCAACAGATCATTGATATGAAGCAGGAATAATGTTGGTGCCAAAATTGATCCTTGTGGAACGCCGGAATTGATGCCAAAGGTATCAGACGATACACCGTCCACCACCACATGAATCGATCTGCCTGAAAGAGAACTCGATAAGAGATGGCATAGCTGAGGTGGTAAGCCGTATGATGGTAGTTTTCTATTCTGTCTGTTGTAGTGTAACGTCATGATGATTTATTTTTATTGCACTCTTAACTTTTTCTGCCATATAATGGATTTGGTACATTCATTTGATAGTAGTAGTTCTTCATCTCCAGGCAGCAGTGGTGAAGGAGTTCCTTGCTGAAGTTGCTGAAAATATTGTGCCAAATCTAAAAATTCTAGAACTTTTGTTAGATAATCCGAAAAATGGAGGAGAATACTTTGCCATTATATTCAGATACACAATTTATTGAACATTTCAGGTGGTTGTCGAAATTCATGTAGGTACAAGGGACAAAACATATCGAAAATCTAGCTACGAATGCTATGATGGAATATATTCACCATTCCTCCACAGAGAGGGCTTCCAGAGATATTGTGAATAGACTCAAAGGAAAGTTTGAAGCTTCAGAATATTATTCGAATAAAGAGGTTCCAAACTATTGTTTGTTCCGCAAATGCTGAATAGAGGTTATGTTCTCAGAGGATTCAAAACGACTGCGCACTAGTTTTGCGCAGTTCGAGAACGATTCTTAAACAGTTCTGAAATTGCAACCCGAATGAACCTAATAATAGTACCGTCTGTATAATATTTATTTGCATGTGATTGAAATTATCATAGACCTACACGTAACTTGCTATCTCCTTCAGACTTGCATATAAAGCAGCAGTATTCATTCAAAAATATACAGCTCATTCGAAAAATCGATAAGGCCACGAGAAAAAACGGATGAGAGACAGATTTTACTTTTCCTATGAGTAGAAAGATAGTTGAGATACAGAGAGGGTCCCAGAATGTCACATTCCCATGTGCATGGAAAACGAGGCGAGCTATGGAAATTTTGTTTGCGGTATCGGGAGTTTCCAGAAAAAATAGCCAACGTTCGCGAAAACTGCAGATCTCTGCCTTTCAAAATAAGTGAGATATCCCGTAGGAATATCGGAAATGGGACAGCCTGTACATTTTTTAAATGATTATTGAAAGTCATGATATTTCATGAGATGACGAACCAGAACAACGCGTGACGACATAAACCGAATCATCCACTCATGTACAGGGTATCCCAATTTGGGCACTTTTGCGGAGTATCTCCCTTATCAGTGAAGATAGAGCATTGCGGTTTTGGCGACAGTGTGCTACTTTTTCATGAAATTAATAAAAGAACGAGCAGAATTGTGATAGCTCTTCCGGTTGTCGAGATACAGGGTGGAATTGGAATATATCACTTTCCAGGCACCCCCTGTGTCTCATCAGCTATCTCTTAAGTTAAAGCTTGTTCGTATAGAGTTTTTCTTGTAGAATCTAGTGGCGTTGTTATTTTTCTGCTAGCACCTTTTGTTTTTTAGTTATGGAGCAAACATATGTTTTTTTGAATGCAACACCCTGTTTTTATTTCATATATTCATTAAGCATGAAGTGGGCTTTCCAAAAATATATAATTGTATATAATTATTTTCAAAAACATGCTCAGACTGGAAACACCCCTGTATCTTACGTAATCGTTTGGTAAGGATCCTGAAATTTGCTGGAGCGAGAGATATACCAAAAATGCATTCTATAACCAAGTGATCTTAAGGATATTCTCAAGATATCTACTGAAAGATATCTCTTTCAAATCCTGCGATGAATATCTCATGGATGTCCATTTCAAATACAAGAATATCCGGCCGACCATAATTGGACATGTAGAAGATATCCATAGGATATTCTGTGTTATCTGAGGTCAAAATACGCGTCGATTTGAAGCATTTTACCTCAGTCCGAGATTGATTCGTTTCCGAGATACAGGGTGGTGAATTTGAAACACAAAATCAAAGACACTCCAAAAAAGTATTTTGAAAAATCCATTTTCGCACCGCACATTCACTTATCAAATTACATCCACGAAGATAACAGCAAACATTTCTTATTTACACGAGAAACCGAAATATCCCGAAAACGGCTCAGGTTAGCGAATTTTCACAAGTGCGTCTTTTCTGCTCGAAAATATCAAGAAAATAATTTTCTTAACAGGAACAAAAAGGAAAAGGCATTGGTAAGCGCCCTCTATTGGCCACAGTGATGAAAGGTGTCCGTATTCGAGTTCCGCATCCCAAATAGTCCCCAGCTACCAATTTTTGAAGTGATACGTTCGAAAATGTTCAAACATTTTGAAAAATTCGATTTATATTTATTAAATTCACTATACCCTGTTTCTCCGAAATGGAGCATTTCCGACTGAGGTGAATTGCTTTGAAAATGCTCATTTTGTACAGACCATTTAGGGGCAGGGCACCCTGTAAATTGTGAGTATATCACCACACCGCTATATTGTGGAAGTGAATTCTCATTTTCATAAAGAATGTAAATGTTCTATTTTCATTAGTTGTAGAGAAATACAGGGTGGATCTGAAAGTGAGGTTTTTCATTTAACAGCCAAAATGAATTGTTTTGCCAAAACTTGTTTATGTAAAAATGTTAGATAACGAAGAAGGGCATTCCAAGGTTTTGTATATTTGAGATCTGATTGTATCAATTCTACAATTATTAGAGAAAATATGATGAAAAAATCACTTTGAGACGAAAATTAATAGCTTGAAAATGTGAAAGGTATTCGATTAATTTATCTGATGAAATAATGCAACTGTAGGGTATCTATCGCTGGACTAATAACGGATTTTTTGTGTTTTTTTGAGAAAATGTAAACAGAATGTTTAATAGTTCGAATCTTTTTTAAACCTCTTGATACCTGCATCTCCGTAATCTTAAATATTTTACATCAGCATTATTTTGCCAAACACCTTATTTTGGAGAGATATACAGGGTGGGTCACGGTCGATAGCACCTTAGACGTTTATGGAGAACGGGACATAAGATCATTCTGAAAATTTGGTTACTCAAGTAATCGCTTTTGATCTATCGATCTACAATATTTTCAGCTCTGCGGCGTTGCCGCTTCTATCGAAAAGTAGCAACAACTTTGTTATTTCGAATGGAACACCCTGTATTTTACGCATTTTCAGATTCTCTCTGAAGAGCTGATTTCATCGATGTGGCACACTTGGGGTCTAGCGGGAATGATTACAGAGATATAGGGTGTGAAAAATCGACATTTTTCAACTTTAGGAATTTTTTTTGTGGAAACTATTCATTATTGGTCAAAACGGCTCACATGTCCCTATCCCAACTTTTGATCAACTATCTACTGACATTTAATTGAAACAAATACAGGGTAGTGCAGAATTCAGATTCTTGATCACCCGGTATATGTCCCAATTAAATATCAGTAGATAGTTGATCAAAAGTTGAGATAGGGACATGTAAGCCGTTTTGACCAATAATGAATAGTTTCGACAAAAAAAAATCCTAAAGTTGAAAAATGTCGATTTTTCACACCCTATATCTCTGTAATCATTCCCGCTAGACCTCAAGTGTGACATCGATGGAATCAGCTCTTCAGAGAGAATCTGAAAATACGATAAAATACAGGGTGTTCTATTCAAAATAACAAAGTTGTTGCTACTTTTCAATAGAAGCGGCAACGCCGCAGAGCTGAAAATATTTCAGATCGATAGATCAAGAGCAATTACTTGAGTAACCAAATTTTCAGAATGATCTTATGTCCCGTTCTCCGTAAACGTCTAAGGTGCCATCGACCGTGACCCACCCTGTATATCCTGTTAAAAAGAAAACCTTACTTTCAGATTCATCCTGTATAACACTATTGGTGCCTATCTATCACGTCATCGAGAACTATCGATTTTGAAAGGTGAATATTCTAATTATTGAAAAGAATATTTGTGATGATTTTTTATGACAAATTTTTGCGTCAAATACTATTTCAACGTGGAAAGATCAATATCAAATGAATATGAGCGGACTTTATTAGACTAGTGTGTACAATTCCATCAGGGAGTCCCAGAAATTAATTGAGAAATAAATTGGTTGGAAACGCCAATCGATTGTGACCCAATTTTCATGAAAATACTAAAACGTTCCTAACTCACCGATATTTGATGGGTGATGATGAAAATCAGATTCTTGCATGTAGTGCTCGCTGTCGTCTGTCTCGCAACTATTTCCTGAAAAAAAAAAACATCATCATCATGAATGTATTTTTTCTACAAACGCTTAACAAAGTAGCCTTTGACGCTTTCAAATTCCAGCACAAAGTTGACGTTTTTCCAGAAATGTCATTCTTTGACAGCATTTGCGCTCGTGATCGGAAATATTGGAAAAACGCTCGCTTATCTCTGTAACCTAGACAGTGAATCATCAAACACACCTCCTTCCTGATGATATAGCAGAAAGCGCAAGAGTTTGAATCTTTCACTGGAGAAATCAAGGAAGAAATATGAATTACAATATGATACATTCATAAATTGGTGCCACTCCGAGATGGTGAATATGTATTCAGAAAACGTTTTACTGGCTTATTTTGGTAAAAAATCAAAGACTTTGAAGTCATCAACTCATTGGTCTATATATTCGATGGTACGTATACATGCTTGAATGTTAAAGATAATATCGGAATCAATAAGTATCTGAAACTTATCGCATTTCTCAAGAAACAATCTATTGGATATAAAGCGAGAAAAATCCAAAACATTCACTGCTGAAGATATATACCAACAAATTTCTACAAGAAGCTCCCGATGAAGCATATCTGTTGATGGAAACGATGATTTATACTTTATATTTAAACTCTTTGTTGTCATCAGGAAGACAGTGTATCTTTATTTTATTGCATCAATGAGTAATGTTCAATTTGATTGCAGAGCTTATCGTACTATTGCTCAGAGGTCTGAAGCTCAGGTTGCCACGCTGGTGGTCCAGTTTCAATTCTCGGTAGGCCCGACATTTTTTTTCTGGCTTGTCAGTTACCTATTTCAAATTTCAATTTTTCTTTTTTTGTTTCCTTTGGACATATATGGGATGATATGGATTAGAACTTTCTCAACTATTTCAATCGCTATTACTTTCAGGGTATAGTTATTTCCAAAAGCTGCGTTAGTAGAAAAAATCTTGTGTGTATTTCGAGCACAAAGTGTTATTGCCGCTCTCCGCTCCGCATCGCGCGGTAACTTTCTTTGTCTAGCGGCAATCTATCACTTTGCGCTCTAAATACACAAATAGCTATTCCAACCTAAAAGTCTTATGAATCGGTCAAAATAGTTTTATGGATGTTATTGAAACTTCGGTTGACATTTTTATTGAATATACTTTTTCTAAAACTGTAAAAAAACTGCACTTCTTTAATAAACTTGCGTGTGCCTAAAGTGTACAATTTGTAAATATCGAAATACTATTACATCATTTCACGAAAAAGTGTGAAAAAAGTATACTCTTTTCACGGTTGTTGCTAGGCGATGAAATGAATGCTTGCGTGAAAAAGGCCCATAAACTGCGTTGTTGGTGAGCTGTCTTGTTCAACGAAATCACGCAAAACCAAGAGTATGATTGCAAAATGGTCGTTTTTGCTAGCCACACACCACACACTTTGGTTTCGCGTCATTCTTGTTCAAACATACTTTTTCTACGAACAAAACAGCCTACCAACGATGCAGTCTATATTATGCTCCTTTACGAGATTCAGAAAAGCAGCAAGCGAACAAATCAAGGCGGCTGACTTCGTATTCCGTTCGGAGTGCCAGTGAAATAGAGATGGAAGCAGGAATAAGGCGCAAAGATATCCTCACCCTCACGTATTAGATAATAATTTGCTCGCATCTCATGTGACATGAAATGAGTAAATGTACTTGATAATAATAATTGCGAAATATCATTTGATCATTTACAATATAAGTTGAATGATGTTGTCCTCTTTTTTGTTAGTTGTAGGGAAATATTGTATGTAACACGTGCGTATAGTGTTTTTTTCTACAAGCGTGCGTGATTCACCCTATACCCGCACGCAATTTAGTTTGGAAAGTGTCATTTTCCCGCAACAGTACGGGAAAAACAAATATATGATAATATCGCAAAATATAAGTGGTAGGTGATGGAATATAAGAGTTTGAGTTTGTTGGAGTAATAAGTATGTAATCCTCTTATAGATTTGGATTGATCTGATGGGAAACGATTATTGTTGTCATGCCAATCAAACCTCAAATGAGTTTGTAATTGTCGAAGTGACAGACACAGCGTTAGTGTCATTTTCGATTCAGTATAATTGCCACAATGTGATCAAAAACTAACAGCTTTACTAGCTATAGGAATGCGATACAGATGCATTATTATTGCCAACGAAGTCTTAAGAAAGGTATGAGAAGCTATACACGCGTTTCATTGAATGGTGCAACAATAAAGAAATGAAAATACCGAATAAAGTATTTTTGGCTCATTTCCTAGGAGTGTCTGAAACCTAGAGACCAAACACCTTATGGGCCTGCTGGATTCCGCAATGAACCTCCATAATGCGTCAAACTGTAAGTTCACAATAGCTATTACTAATAATCAGTAGATAGAGAATATATTCCTCTTGTTAGTTGTTCCTATATGAATGAATAATTAATTGAACAAATCAATCAATTTCATACGGTTGTAGAAAAAATATTGTTCCCAACTCATGCTTGCCCGAACTCCGCTTCGCATCGTTCCTGTCAACGGCAGTCGCGTGCGGGAAAGAATCGCTTTCCGCACTTGTTAGGAAAATTACTATTTTACTCATAAAAATTGCCGCTCCTCACCTTCGGCGTCGTGTGTCAACATTTCGTAAAAAAGTACCAGTTTACGTACTTGTTACATAAATAACTATTCCTTAATGTTGACATGTAATTTTACACTTTTCAAAACTAACGAAAGATTTTGAACGTCTTCCTGTTACGACACCAGTTGCGTAAAGTGAAATACTACATACCTGGTGATGAGATGACAATTTTACCACTAGTTACGAAATGAAAATATGGATAGACGTAGGGAATAATGCATTATATGCTGCTTCCTTGATATCACTCGGAAAACTAGAATGAGCCATTTTCCACCAATGGAAATATCATTATTCCTGTTCAAGCGGAATTTCTCATTAAAAATTGGAAATAATATTGTACGTAACGAGTTACAAAACACGTCATTTTGTGTGACGATGTAGTAGCAGAGTATCATTCTGTTTTTCCAACTACAAAATAGCCACAATGCTCAAAGTGACATGTCAATTCTGGTCAGGATATCCCTGGATTCAAAATGGACATCCATGAGAAATCGCAGAATTTGAAATGGCTATCCTTCAGTAGATATTCTGAAGATATCCACAGCAATCATGAATTTGTTCAATTTGCAAGATTGATTTTCATAGTGTCAATTCATGTGTTTCTTTTGTGTCCGAAGATAGATTGCATTTTTATGGAAATAGATCTGATTCTTTGTTCCTCGAGATAACCATCGCAGGATTCGACATAGATATCCTTCAGTAGATATCATAAGGATATCCATAAGATATCCACAGCAATTATGAATGTGTTGAAATTCCAATAAGATTGGTTCTGATAGTGTCAATTTATGAGTGTTTTTGTTCCCGAACATAGATTGAAAGCTTTTTGGAAATCTGATTCTTTGTTCTCCTACTGAATTTGGAATGGACATTTTTAAGATATCCATCGCAGGATTCGACATGGACATCCTTCAGTAAATATCTCAAGGATATCCAAAAGATATCGACAGTATTTATGAATGTGTTCAATTTGCAAGATTGATTTTGATAGTGTCAATTCCTGAGTCAATACCACCTGAAATATGCCACCGTGCCATAACGATGCATTGCAAAAAATTATCCGTGTGTTAATATTCCGTACTCCACCAACTTTCTTTTTCATTGGAGCCAATAGTGATTCAATGGCGTTTTTTCACGTTTATCGGTTTATCCGTCCAAATCCAAATGTGCCGAAAGCTTGCCGTGTTCTTGTGTGTTCTTGTCTTGTTGACTCGAGTTTTGTAATAGTTTCGTATTGTGCATTGTGCGAATATTTTTGTTTATTGTATTTCTGAAGAAGTAAGTGACAATTAGAATTACCTTATTTCTACTATTTATATAATCCTCATATGCATGTGTAGGTGCGTGGTCCGTGAATAAACCAATTGACTGAAGACTCTTCAGGATTCACAAACACTGTTGACTCATATTTTTGATTCGTTGACAACTTAGTTAAAGTTTGAATCCGTGAAATCTTATTTTTAAAAAGATTTATTTCGAAAAAGAACTCAACAAAAACAAAATTAGGTACCAAGTGGTGAATAGTAGGAATTCTAAAGTCAGACTAACTATAAAATATGAAATATAATTCAAGTGAATAAGCAAAGTCAGCATCTCGGCACCGTTCTCATGAGAACTCTCGGAATCCGTAACGGCGGTGGCTTCAGATATCGCTGAACAAGGGTGGAATCAAATTGTAACTACTTTATTTTCATGTACATACATTATTATTATTGAATAAGTATTCCTCCAAATTACCATCACTCCATCTTATTATCCTCAATGTATATCCTCGAAGGATATCTTCCGAACGTCAATGAAGGATATATTTGAAGTATATCTTATAGATATCCCTGAAAGATATTTCATGGATATCTTCCTTAATCCTCAATGTTTATCTTCGAAGGATATCATCCGAACGTCAATGAAGGATATATTTGAAGTATATTTTATAGATATCCCTGAAGGATATTTTATGGATATCTTTGAAGTATATGTCTTATGGATATTCCTGAAGGATATTTCATGAATATCTTTGAATTATGTCTTATGGTTATATATTGCTGAAGGATATTTCATGGATATCTTAGAGGGATGTCACATGGATATAACTGAATGATATTTTATAGATATCTTTGAAGTATGTCTCATAGATATCCTTGAATCATGTCTCATGGATATAATCGAAGGTTATCTCATGGATATCTTCGAAAGATATCTCATTGGCCTCTCTGGAGGATATATATATATAGGTCATAAATTGTATGTGCATAGTACATAGATAGAATTCATGAAAAATGTTCAGTGGATATCCATTGAATGTCCATGTGCTATCTAAGTGTTAAGAAACACGAAGAAGCTCAGAGTAATTTCTACAAATGTTCATAAAATTAACAACAGTAGTAGGTGACGGGAGAAAAACAATTACTTCCTTGACTAATACCTCGCAGAAAATTGAATTATATCCTCCCGAAATCCATAACGCAATGACACCTACAGACCGGCATTAACCAGAAAAGTACTTTTCCGTCGACCTCGTATTAACGACTAAGTTTAATGTATATGAAATCGTTCATTAATGACCCCTATTAATGAACGATTTGTCTATTAATGTACGATTGTTTTATAGGCAACCAAACATACACCGCGTGCATTCATTGTTTATGCTATAACTTACGGAATCTGCATATAAATCGAAAATATGGATTTCATTGAAGATTTTCTGTTAACGGGTTCACCTTTCCAAGTTTCTGACACGATTTTAATCCCTGTTTTCTAACACAAGGAATTTATTTTCTATGTTGATCATTTCGACAAATGTCAAATGACACTAATGTCAGTGACAAGGCTACTGGGTGATTCTTAGCAGTTTCCGGATGAATGATGAATTCGCGAACCAAGTTTTCTTCATTGCAGGAGAAATGGGAAATATAGTCGACGGAAAAATTGTGTAACCAACTTGTATATTAAAAGGCGATTAATGATCTCAAACATTAACGCGCTCGCTTCGCTCGCACGTTAAAATATCTCGATCATTAATCGCCCTCATTAATAAACTAGTTGGTTAAATAACTATTGTTGTTTTTTTTTTCGTCAACTACCATTATTGACAGTTGTTCATTTTATTATCATTTGTGGAAACTACTTTAAGCTTTTTCGTATTTATTCATTCTGTTATGCATTCAAATAAAAACCAATACTCGGTGCTGACTCTTACTTTTTCAAAGTCAGTTAAAGAGAGCGAACACTCAGACCTAAAAAGGCCATACTCGACGAAATGCCTCCCTGTTAGCTCTCCTCATCATAAAACAATTTCAGCGCCGCGTTCTATACGTCTGCAATCCCAGAGGAGAAGGGTTCATCATTCGAGCTGTTGCATCTTTTATGAGACCAACAACAGGTGAAATGCTTTGTCGGAAAGCTCCGGGACCGTTCCCAGAACAGATTTGCCACCCCCAGGGTTGGAAAAAAGAGATGCAGGCTAATCAGGGCCGGCCTTGGACCGTCACCCTTAAATATGTGCCGTTCACACCAAACTCTTCACGCCGGGTAATACATGAAGTTCTAGTCATGTTATCGCCATCTAGTAGCATAGTTCTAAGGCACGATCACGTACATCAACAACTCTGCAAAGTGGTACTACAAGTAAACCGCAATCTGCTGATAGATTGCACTACTTGACTACTTAAGTAGAATGATCCAATACTATTCATTGAACAAGATATATCTTAATTATGATATCTATAGTTCAACAACCTTCCAACTTTTAACAATTTAGTATCTTAATGGTGATGGTGACAAATAATCATTGTGATGCAAAACTATAGAGATTGAATGATATGATACCAGATGATTTCTTTTCAATGGAAAACAGGTGGATATCTAGGTCACAATATTGAAATCAGACCAAAAATGACAATAACTTTCGGAATCCAAACAGAACGCCTTGTATCATACATCTGGAATGCTCATATACAGGGTGTTTTTTATATATTGCGACAAAATTCAGGAACGTGTTCTTTGGACAAAAATTCGCAAAAAAGTTTCTATAAACATAGGTCCTAAACCTTTTAGATTTTGAGCTACAGGGTGGTAAAGTTTCAACAAAAAAATGATTTTTTTTCGATAACTTAAATACCCCTGTAGATATTCGTCCAAAGATTGGTATGCAGGGTCTGTGTATCCAGAGCCATTTACCAACATACTTTTAACATATTTATGTTCTCCAGTGGCGTGTGTGCGGGTTTTCCGCTGAATACTTTTATGAAGAAAAATGGTACGCCACTAGTTTTTCTGGTATCAAAAAATATTTTTAAATTTCCCGTTTTATTTGCAACATTTTTGATCCCTTGGACTTTGTCCGTTAGATGCACGGTTTTCGCACAAAAAATTAAAAAACATCTACTTTGACTGATCGCTAAAATTTATTTTTTCTATGATCGTTATAAAAAGTAAGTTTTTTTTTACAATTTTTTAATTAATTCAGTACAAAAGCCAGCCCAATTTAATAAAATTGTAATTGAGGATTTAAAACTTTTGCTTCTACAATCTTTAATTTAAAATACAAATTTTTAAGTGATGAAAGATATTTCATTTTTTATTATTTATTCAAGTAATATTATTATTTTTACAAAAGTTGTTCAAAGTGCTCCTCCAACATCAATACAAGCATCTAATCGACGTCGCATTGATTGGCGGACACGTTCAAAAATTCCTGGTGTCTGCCGAATTATGTCACAAGACGTTATAATACGATTACGCAATTCCTCCACATTATCAATTGGATTTCTATAAACCAGTGATTTAAGGTGTCCCCACAAAAAAAATTCAGCGGATTTGAGTCGGGAGACCGTGGGGGCCAAGGGATAATACCTCCCCGACCTATCCAACGATTTGGATACGTAATATCCAAATACTACTAAACTAAAATTGGCTGGAGCACCGTCATGTAAAAAAAACATTTGCTGTCTCAGCTGAATGGGGACATCCTCTAGCATCACTGATAATTCATTTTCAAGAAATTCTTGATACACTTGTCCAGTCAACCTTGCTGCTAAAAAAAATGGACCGATGAGAAAGTTTTCAATAATGCCGACCCATACATTAAGTGAAAACTGGTGCTGATGACGGTTTTCTGCCACAGCATGTGGGTTCTCATAATGCCATATGTGGTTATTGTGGGAGTGAAGAGTATTTTTCTTATAAACGGTGCATCTTGCCTTATGCGATCTTGCATCCAACGACACAAAGCCGTTCTTTTCGGAAAATCGCCTGGCAAAAGTGCCTGCACCCGCTGAATATGATATGGGTATAAAAGGTTTCTTTTAAGAATATTCCAAACTGTAAAGTCACTAATGTGTACCGTCTAAGCAATTTTCCTAGTGCTTGTGGTGGGATCTTCCTCGAATTCATTGAGCACCTGTTCTTCAATTTGAGGAGTAACTGTTCGGGGATGTCCGTTTTCAGCGGTGAGTTTTTTAAAGCTGCCGGTTTCACTTAGACGTTGGTGTGTAAACGGGTAAACATGGAGTGATGAGGAATAACACGATTTGGGTAACGTTCAGCATAAATACGCAAGGCTTCTCGTGCGTTTTCGTTAGCCAGTCCATAAATGAAGTGCATATCGCACATTTCATTATTTGTGTAATTGTTAGCAATTTTTTTAACAAATTAATCTTGTCAACTTGTACTTAAATTATTTACTTTGACATTAATTTTGACGTCTTGAACAAGAATGTGATTATCGTTGCGGCGGCGTTGTCCGTAGTTACGTTAAAAAAAAATTATGTTCACAGGCTACTTCGCGATTTTGGAAGCGTGAAATATTAACACGTTACTCATATGTCACTTTTTTAACATGTTAAATGACGTGACATATTATGAACTACAATGAAATTTTGAATAAAATTTTAAAAAAAACTTACTTTTTATAACGATCATAGAAAAAATAAATTTTAGCGATCAGTCAAAGTAGATGTTTTTTAATTTTTTGTGCGAAAACCGTGCATCTAACGGACAAAGTCCAAGGGATCAAAAATGTTGCAAATAAAACGGGGATTCAAAAAATATTTTTTAATACAAGAAAAACCAGTGGCGTACCATTTTTCTTTATAAAAGTATTCAGCGGAAAACCCGCACACACGCCGCTGGAGAACATAAAAATGTTAAAAGTATGTTGGTAAATGGCTCTGGATACACAGACCCTGCATACCGATCTTTAGACAAATATCTACAGGGGTATTTAAGTTATCGAAAAAAAATCATTTTTTTGTTAAAACTTTACCACCCTGTAGCTCAAAATCTAAAAGGTTTAGGACCTATGTTTATAGGATTTTTTTTGCGAATTTTTTTCCAAAGAACACGTTCCTGACTTTTGTCGCAATATATAAAAAACACCCTGTATATGGCCAGTTCTATTAGAAAAACATATTCCTGGAGACTAAAAGAAATCCATTTCAACTCCTTTGATAGATATCTCATCATGGATATCCATTTCGAATCCAGGAACAAAACGGAATATAATTAGTTTTCTGTGAATGGTTAAATTG